ACATTTTTCTAATGAAGTGCTTTTGGATTTTTTTGTTTTTTTCTTTTCCTCCGCCATCCCCTTGTCCTTCCTTTCACCTCCAGCCCACAGCCCACTCTGATTTAAAACACATACAACTGTACCGCTGTTTTACTGCAAAATAACACAAAGCACGGACTGAGACACCTTTCGGTCGCCTCCAGCTTCCCATCTGTTGCACATCTGGAAGTGGTGTGCGGCACCAAGTAATTGGAAGTCAATTTGTTTGATGTTATGTCTTTGGCATCTGGCTCGATTCATAAAAACCCTGGAAATGGCATTAATTTTATAGCGTCTCTCTTTGTTTCTCCTGTGTTCCGCAGCAATGCACGCAGGGCCTCGCTCGGCTGAGTGACGGGGGAGTACTTTTTAGAGCTGGTCAGGGTGTGGTCCCTCATAAAAGCTGAAACAGGGCCCCCCCAAAGAATCATGGAACAGATTACCACAGCTCACCGAGAGAGAAAATATTGATAAGTTCCCCCAGCATTAAAATGAAATCCTCTGACTTTGGCCAAGTTTCACAACTTCACCTTCACCTTTAACTTTGACCACAGCTTCAGATCTTTTATTTTGTGAAGGGAAAGCTCATCCTGGGCTTAGTTTGCCACATTGCCAGCAGACGGACTGACTGATTGAGAAGCAGCATGGTGTTGTTTGTCACACAGCTCTGAGTCACTGCTGAAAATAGATATGACACTTGATGTTTGGTGCCTTTCTGCTGGCTGTCATATTGTTATTCCCACTCAAATTTCACCTAATTTGTGCACAAGTCTTGTCACAGTCCAGATCCTGATAAGGGCTTTTAGGTGGGTATTATTTTTTTTATACTCCCCCTCTGCTCACCCAGGTATATGTGGCAATGAAGTGCAATGAGACCCACACACACACAACTGCATGCATTTGAGGTGCGTGCATGTGTTTGCAGCATTTGCAGTTTCTGCTTGCATGTGCACTTTTGTGTTTGCACACAAGCACATTTGATTAGAATTGTTTGTGTTCGGGAATGTGTGTGTGGGCATGTGCATCACCCACCATGTGTGTGAGCGTGTGTGCTTGTGTATTTCACCTCAGCGGGAGGTGATTAAGAGTTGCCAATGGCAGGCTCGACAGGTGAGTGTATTGTAGCACGCCGGCAGCCGTGGCATCTGCACAGGTGACAGCTTCTCCCTGCTCAGTGGCGGTGTCAGTGTTGGTGGGTGGCAGGAGGTCTGACAATGTTGTTTTGGTGACAGAACGACTCTGCTGTGAGGTTCACGACATCACTTGGCTTCTTCAGATTTGTCAGTTCTTACTGGGAGGTATAGTCATGAACTTTAGCTCATAAACTACTGCCAGGGTGCATTGTCATATGGAGAGGTTCTGTTTACCAACACAGCACTGAGCTTCACTCAAAGAGCTTCAATTTTAAGGGCTATCTTAAAGGGGATTCTTTACAAAGCCTTGCTTCAGCTTAATTTAAACTTAGTAGACTTTAGACATAAAACACAGCCTATTACTGCCATCTGCTGCTGAAAGTCTGACACAGCAACATATTTTTTCTTTATACTGTGAGTGAGGTCATCTTTTATTAGGGAAACCACATTCCTCTACTCAACGCGGATACAAAGGGACATGGAAAAATTATTTTACAACTTAACAGTCTTAGGCAGACTGTAATAAGCCAGTCTGTTTCTTATGAATGAGGTTAGGTAAGCAAGTAAAGGAAGTATGAAGGAGGGTTTTTTTTTTTCACAAATGTGTTTGACACCTTCTGTTAACAAATAGGTTAACTCCATGTTTTCTCCATCCAGTTTAGAAACATCACTGTTTGAGAGTGATCTAATCGGGGAAAAAAAAAATATACAAATGTTGATGTTCTTCTCACACTGATAAAATTCTGAGAATGTAACGGTTAAAATTTGGGTAAAGATTTCTCAACATGTTATTTCTACACATACTTTTAAAGAGATCTTTGAGTTGATTATAAATATGATCTTTCATTTTTACTCTGATTGAGTTAAATGGTAAAAAGCCAATACTTATAAGGTCCTTTTCAAGTTTTACACTACTTTCAGGTTTTCACCAATTCACACTTTTATTCACACACTGATGGGGACAAAGTACACTGTAACAGCAGCTGCCCTGGGGCTCACTGACAGAAGCAGGTTACTCAAATAAATCAAAAAAGAACTTTTTATTTTTTACTGATTTATATTTAATAAATAACTAGGCATGGGATGATATTCTTAAAATAAAATCAGAGCGACTTAAAAAAAAATAGCTACAGCTGGTAAACCTCTAAAATTTTACGTTATAGCATTTCTTTGGTTGACAGTGTTTCTAATAAAATGCAGACAAAGAGAGATTTTCTCTGGCTTTTGAATTATTCTTAAGGCCATTTCTATAATTAGGATTATTAGACAATGTTACATCTGTCTCAGTATTATCTGCTTTGAATAAATACAAAAACTTTTTACTTGTTCTTTCCTAAGTGCTGTATTCATATGATTTACTCACAAGAATCTCCTGCTGACCCATGACACACGACAGGACAAATGCGTCCAATTATTACCGTTAATCAAAATAAAGTGAATTATTATGTTGTTAAATCACTTGGTTGTCAACCATTTAAATAAAAAATAAAATAAGCAGCTGCTTTCTTATGCAGGCTGAAGTGTTACTGGGATCTTAAACATTTTATTTCTAATGTAGAAAAATTGTTTTTAAACTTTTTTCCAGAGCAGCACTGCTTATAAAGTTGACATTTATTGATGATATCATCTGTAAAATCAGATCAACCCTTGTTTTCTCTGCTGGACAGAGACAACGACGAGTCATTTTTATAATAAACATCTTTATCTAAACTATAATCAACATGTTTACATGGAATTTGTTTCTACATTAGCTTTAAATATAATGTAACTTTATTGATCTCACTCTGGAGATATCTAACTCTACATTTAACCCATCCCCTTGGGGAGCAATGGGCTGCCATTGTGCGGCGCCCGGGAAGCAGTCTATGGTTAAGGGTCTTGCTCAGGGTCCCGGGTGCAGGCTGTAGGGATCGAACCGGGTATATCCAAACTTCTCAGAGCACAAGCACACTGCTCTAACCACTAGGCGAACACTCCCCTTAATTTGTGAGAATTTAAGCTTAAGTGAGCTTTACATTTTGATTAAAATCTAAATATTTGGCAACGACTACTTGTTAGAAAGTTGGAATTTAGCATAAATTGTTTTACTAAACTTGCGGAGTGTATTTTGTGGGATAACTCAGAAAATAACTCCTTGTATTAACTTTGGATGTTTTGTATAAACAAAATGAAGATATACTTTTTCCTAATGCATGCAAATGAAGTCCCTAATATCTTCTTTTTCTCTATTCAAATCATGGCTACAGGTTAAATTAGTTTTAATCTATCAAGTAAAGTCATAATTTATACCAATCAAAATATTTCTTTAATAATGAATGGATTGATTTGAGGTTGTTAAACAAACTAAAAAAAGACAAGAAACAGAAAATTAAAATATAAAATAAACTCTGTGAATTGCTCTTTAGGTCCTACATACAGTAGTCTATCTCATGCACTAATGAAAATCAATGTTAACCTTCCATAACTGCTTTAGCCAATTACCCATAAACATTGCTCCCTACTTTGTAGTTGGACTGGCTGTGCTCCATAATGATTGATCGGTTTAGTCTTATTTGCAGCTCAAGAGGGGATGCGAGTGGGTGGGTGTTTCGATTTCTCAGAGAAGTACGCTCTAACAACACTCTGCAGCATTAATTCAGAAAGCCTTTGATGAGAAATCCATTAAGGAGGTTATTGGCATGTTGTTTTCAGACTTCATATTCTGGCTGAGGTGGAAAAAGGAAATCCTATGCCTAAAGGCATAGGATTCCAGACTCCTCTGCAGGCTGTAAAAGTAAAAAATTTGATTGTTCTATATGGATTAATCCCTCCATATTGGTACCTATATTTTAGAATTTTAAAGATGTATTAAGTAATCTAAATATGTATACCTGGAAAGGCATGGATTATAATTAAGAAAAATAACAGAAATCCTGGTTATTATCATTCTCTACTTGGAAAAACTTGACTCATCTCGTCATCTTTCTTACCTCTAAGGAAACTTCTGTAGTTTCCTGCTAATAGCACTCATGGCAACTCCTTTTCTGGTACTGTTATTCACCCTTAAGGGCTCATCAACTCACAGTAGGCTCATCAAAATTATCACTCCTCATCTCCTTGTCTTTATTATCTAATTTCCCTCCTCTCTCTCCTGCTCCTCCACCACTCATTTCCAATCAACCACCTTGCAAGCCTGCTCTTCACCTTCCAACACATAACATGAATTATTATTGGACTCTTGCACTACCTCTAAGAATGAAACAAGCTATGTGTATAGATATAGATTTTATATGAATACATGGATTTAAAAAAAATACATAAATACAAAAGAATTGTAACAAACACATAAAAGAGACAAACAAAGCCGAAGACATGTTAAGCAATAGAGTGAGTACATTAGTTACAGGTTTTAGGACGTCATTTAAGGCCTCCTTCGCAAAATGCTAACGTTTCTATGATTCTATAACAAAGTGGTAGAAAAAAGTACACTTTAGGCAAATCTTCAGTTATTATTTTGCATATGTTACAGTGTGTAACCACCACAGTGTCTGACTTTAAAAACAACCAGTAGTAATGAACATTTTTACTTATAAATGTCTCCCTTTTTAATACAAGTCTGTTTCTGCATCCTGTGGGAGGCAGAGAAACACAGTGGTTGCTGGTAATAAAGTTAAATCCGTTCGGGTCATTAAATGTGACTGTTCTTTGTAAGAATCATACAATGTCAGCTTCTAAAATTGTCAACAATTTCCTAAAGAAATGACATTTTCAGGGGTTTTGCTTATTTTGTCAGCTGATAATAAAATTACTTGCCCCCCTGGAGTTGTCAGAACCAGATTGGGATCCTTCAGTCAATCTTCAAGGGTTTTGTTTTAGCCCTTTACCAGCAGGAGTTTGACCTGTGCAGTTATTGGGTTATAGCAAAGATCTAGGACCCTTATAGGTCGTCTCCCTCAGCGGAGCTGAAGCTGCTCCTTCTGCTGCTGTCTTTGGAAGCAGCCCCTGGGGATCCGGCTGACAGAAGTGGATCGGTGCCGAAAGGCGAGAGTGGGTCATCCATCAGGATTTCATCCAACTGGTTCTCCTCCTTGAGTGTGGCAGTGAAGAAGTCTGTGAAATGGGAGAGCGGGTCGGAGAATGTGGTGCAGGCGTCGGTCCTCTGGATGTGGTCCTGCGGGCCGCTGGCGGTGGTGATGGACGGCACGCCTGTTACCACGGCTAGCCTCTGGAGGTAATCGCTGTTGGGGTCTTCTTGGTAAAGGGGTGGCTGTGGTGGCTGCTGCTGCTGCTGTGCCTGAGGTGGGGATTGCTGCTGCTGCTGTTGCTGTTTAAGGAGGTGGGAGGATAACTCGACTGTCCCCAAGGAAGTGGCCATGTTCGGGAGTCCATGTGCTCGGGCCTGGATTTCAAGCTCCTGGGAAACAAAGACATCAAACAGGGTTTTAAATTTAATCTATTTTGACCACATTCATCAACAGATAGGAGGGAGTAGCAGTAAAACAATACAGCCACACCTTCCTTGCCTCTCCTTTCTCAAACTGAACAAGGAGGTTATCAGCACTTATCAACTTCTTGTGTTATCTCCTTGTCCTGTTTGGCTTTTGATACAATTTTCTTGATATAGACAAGAGAAAATATCTATATAAATATTTTAGAAAGGTTACAGATTATGTACCTTCTGCTATTGAAATGAACCCTAGAAAAACATCCAAAACCATTGGATGTCCTGTTCCAGCCCATTTTAATGATATAGTATTGTTCTAAAAATGTCACATAGCTTTACATGCACTGGTCATTTAATGTTGTACAGAAAAATATCTAAAACATAAAAGGCAGCCATGCACTGAACTATATAAACCAAGGTTTCTTGATTTTGATTACCTGGATCCTCAGTAGCAGTCTTCTATTGGCTTGCTCCAGCTTCTTCTGGCGGCTCTCGAGCTCCCGAGAATGTTGCTGCTCCTTTTGCAGCCACCTTATGTACTCCACTGAGGCCTTCAGAATGGTGCCTTTGTTCCACCGCATATCACTACAGCAAAAAAAAAAAAAAACATAAACGACATGTTTTTAAACAGAAATCTCTATCGGTAGACTACCTTTTTTCCCCCAAAAAAGGAAAAGTTTTTAACTAGATTTTTTTCCCCTCATTTTTATGATATGAATTAGAAACGGAGACTTAGAAGGGGTGATTATTCATAGTTGGACATTACACAAGGACTTGGAATGGGGATTTTTAATAGAATAGTTAAGAAGCTCTTTGGAAAGTCCATTCTTGTACCTCCTTGTTCAGTAAAATTAATCCTCGAGTAAAAATAGTTGAGGGAAAATGAGCTAAAGTGTGAAGGCAATGAGAAAAATGGAGCATTGGACTTAAGGTGCTAAGAGTGCAAGTCATTCTTTTGCAGGTATTATTACTTTTTTTAAAAGGACAAGGGACCTCTGTAAAATTGTCCTTCTGCACACGACTGAGTCGCTGTTCTGATCGGCGTTAATAATCTCCTTTATCCCTTTGTTAATGGCCTGGTAACAATGCTAACCTCCCATTTATATTTGAGGCAAAAGTTCAACTGCGAATAGATGGCCAGCGTGCTATGCTCCATCTGCATGCGCAAATTGAGCCTCAGACTTTGATTCGAATGACGTGAAAAGGTCTTTACATTTGACCTTCTCCCTCATCGCTCAGGCTTTAAGCCGAAACAGCAGAGATTCTCAGAGAGAGGAGGGGTTGTACATCTCAAAGTGCAGAGACTGCAGATGGAAGTTCACGTGAATCCTTGAAAGACGACTGAAATATACTTAGGGACTCATTTGAATTTGACAACATTCAATTGTCTTTGCTGTAAGTTAAACACTGCCACATATAGATTTTGAAAGGGCATTGTGTACTTACGGGTCATTCGACTTTGGAATGAGCGTTCCCAGCTCCTTAATCCTATAGTTTATGTTGTATCTTCGCCTTCTTTCAACTGGCAAAGCAAGAAGAGAAGAGTTGATTAGAAATGTTGTTATTCAATAGTAGAATTTAATAAATAGAAGAAGAATAGAAGTTTGTCATTACACTGTCACAAGTACATAGAAATTAAATTAACAGCCTGCATTGAACCCATGCCCCATGGGGAGCAGTGAGCTGCCAATGTGTGGCACCCAGGGAGCAGTGTAGGGTTAAGGGTCTTTGCTCAGTGGGCCAAAGTGGCAGTCTGTGGGAGTGGGACTTGAACTCAGAACTTCAGGATTCCAAGTGCAATGCCCTAAGCACTCGGCCGCCACTCCCACTAGAGGTATAATCGATGCAGCAAGGGACTTTTGGGATACATACCATTAATAATGTGTAAGTCTATGCAATCAGTCCATATCAATTTAATCAACATTGACATAATAATTCAAACTATTATAATAATTCAAACCGCTAAGAATTTTCTCAATTTCCTTAAGTAAACAATAATGCATTCCATGTGTTTTTTTCCTTTGTTTCTCATTGCGACTGTCATGACAGCAAAAAGTAATAAAAAATCCAGTCCATTTCCTTCTTGTTCATTACAACCACAGATTGCATTACACTTTAATTGAGTTTATATCTGAGCACAGATAATTTCATTCATTTATACATTTCTGAATCATATTTCTACCACTTTAGATTGATTTGCTATGTCGGTTTATTACATCTAATTTTTAATTTAAGGTGTAAGTAGATATGTTTTGATTGCTTCAGAGAGGAGTTTTTTTTTATATGAAGGGGTGCAAAACTCTCATCTGTACCAATTAAAATGTCAACATCTAGGGAGCTTACTTTAAATTTTTCCATATTCTAACTTGGATTGTTTAAATTAGAGTAAAATTACCAGGTAATGTTAATATTTATAGAGCAAAATTTGGATCAGTTGTTTAAAGAGCTGTGGCAGTTGGAACAATTAAATTTGAGAACCTATGGATTACAAAGTTATCAGCTGAAGACCTTGGGATTAGACAAGGTCAGATACTTACTCAGATTATGGTTGTCCTTTTTCTGCCTCTCTTTGGCCATAACCCTGGTGTCATGCTCTGTCAAAAAATAAAAATACAAATATAAATCACAAAGGAGAGAAATTAGATTAGCAATGCACACTGATTTAGAAACCGAGACAACAATCAAAAGAAGTCCACAAAAGGTCCAGTCATGAAGACAATCAACTGGATTGTTCTAAAGAACTTTAGTGCTGGGGTCAGAGTGGGGATCTAAAGCCTCTTCTGCAGACATACATTTGACCTTCTTACACTCACAAACATACACAGAGAGACCCATTTATCCCCTCTGAGATACCATGAAGCTCATTGTAAAAGAAAAAAGAAACTATAACTGGGACCGCTTTTAGAGTAACTATTCCACAATTAGGATACTTTAGCCAATTCCATAATCTGTCCTGGAGAAGGACGAGAAAAAAATGCGACAGGGGCCATATTTGTATTCACGTTCTACCCAAATGACATAATTAGGAACCTGAGATTGGATTTCCCAATTTGTCTCTGTTGATTCAATCAGGACAATTTAGCGACTGTGTAACATTCCATTGTCCTCCCTTCAAATGAAGCAGACTCTAATTTACTTATTTTCTCGTTCTGAGTGAAGCACTCCCCAGGCATCTTTTCTATTTCCTAAATCAATTAGGATTTTTTTGGCTTTTTCTTGAGATTAATATGACATTTCTAAAGGGTCCTCTGTATAATTTTGTCCTCGTTTTGAATGGTTGTAATAAGAAAGAGTTCTTATTCAGATAATGTGGAAAGTCTACTCAAGTAACGGACGGAAATAAGCCTGACATACTGGGCTGACTTTTAAAAACATTTGCCAGAAAGTCTGTTTAGCAAACACTGGTACAATCTGTCCCTCTCTGAAAAGCTTCATCAGGAATTTGTAGCTTTTCCCTTATCTCAATTAGTCGCTTGCTCATTCCCATGGTATGAGTCCATACCTGTGAATTCCCTTTTAACAGTGAGCTTTGGGGGATTAGATGTGGGACTCATTCCACCATTAGGGGGGTTCATACCTTGTTCACCCCCATAGACATCCAGCATGCTGCTGCTAAGGGAAACCTAGAGGGAGAAGGAAGAAGCAAAGGGTCAGTTAAGGGGAAATGCATTTCACATTTATGCACTCTGCTTTCACACCTCATCAAAAGCTACAAGACAAATAGTTGTTTTAGCTGCGGCATGGCTTTGTCTTGCAATGGCAGTAACAACAAGAGGGGAGAGGAATGATCAGAGAAGACTGTCATACCCCCAGAGCATTTGATTTTTACTGCCAGCAGGGGATTGTTGTCCCTTGTCTGTCACAGCATGGCAGGACAAACTACATATCCCCCCTCCAGTTGAGGTAGTGTTCAGACACACTGTTTGTCTTGCATGACAAAGAGTAACATCCTTCAAAAGGAACCTGCTCACATAAACCCAACTTTTGACCCAAACTTAAGTTTAAAACATCCTGACTTTTCAGATATTCTCATCTTGTTTCCAAGAGGAAGGAAAGAATGACACAAGCAAGACAGGAGAAATATAAAGAAGAGACCTGAAAGACAAAACTGAAATAAAATATATAGGAGTAGATGTGGTTGGAAGGAAAGAAGGAAGGAAGGAAGGAGAAAAGGAGGGAGGAACAACGCACATAAGACAGAGTCCAACTCTAAGGCAATGGATTAGGAAATAAAGTAACACAAATATTTTTCCAAATGATTTTTTTTTTAACCTGCTCAATGCAATTCACTAAAAGCACTGTATATTTCAATTCTTTAAACAGCGTCTGAATAATGAAATGCTCTATGTTCAAAAGCTGCATGCCATGAGATGAAAGGGCTCTCTAGGTCAACCACATGAACAGAGGCAAAACTGTTTTCCCATAGGGACCTCTTAACCTCTAAAATAATAACGCCTTTTCACTGTGTCCAGGCACGCCACAATATACCGCATCCTAAAAAAAAAACTTACATAGGGTCACCACTGATTCTAAAAAAAAAAAAAAGTGCACAACCAATTTTAGCAATGGCACGTGTGTCAAATGTAACTACCAGTGAGCTGAATGCCGTAGGCTGTTAAGTCCAGTGATGGCCTACAAATTATTGAAGGAAGGGGGGATAGGGCATGAAACTAACCAATCCGATCTGGTTTGTAAGTTTTTGCTTTGTGGACCAGTGAAAATAGACGACCCATCCATGGTTGATGGCATAGAGTTAGCAGCATCATGGTGTAGAGATAATTTCCATCGGCATGAGCCGGAAAACTGCTCATAGTGTAGGAGAAGATGATTACAGTGTAAATACAGGAAGGTCCTGAAAGGAAGTCTGTTAGAGGCTATGAAATAGTTAAAACAAGGAGCTGAATACAAATGCAATGCCACATGTTTTTTTTTTTTTTTTTCTATTAGCAAAATCCTTCTACTTTAGAATTAGGGACTACTTTATGTTGGTCTGTTACAAACGAATATCAGCAAAATACTATAAGCTTTGTGGTGGTAATTTGACAAAATCTGCTCAAGGTTTAGGAATAGTTCTTCCATTGTATCGTCTTGTAAATATTGGAGATTTAGAAGAAGTAAAGGGAGGAAGAAAGGGAGGATGGGACAAATATGCATAGGAAAATGAAAGATTGCAACAATCCCCCCTCCTGCCTCTATTGTAATCACTTCAATCCCTCTCCTGTCTGTGTCCCACAATGTGTTGACAAGGCGAAGCGAAGTGATGCATCATGCTGTATGACTAATTAGGATGAATTGATCCATTTAAGCATGGTATCATTTCTGAGCAAGCCCTCTGGGAGTGTATGCATTAGCCCAATCCGATGGCTCAGTAACTCCTTCCGACAAATTCCCTCGCTCAAACAAACCAAGTCTTCCTTTTCTTCACTCCATCTCCTCCTCTGTCCCCTTATCTTTACCTCCACTCTAATTCCTCCTATTGAAATACTTTATCTCTTTTTGTATGCATCTCCTCTTTAATCTCAATCAGAATCTGAGTCTCCCTGTCACTATCTATTTACCCTCATTTGGTGACATTTCTTTTTTCATGTCTTCCCAAGATTTAACTTTGGTTTAATAAGAACCTAATCTGCTTTGCTCAGCTTCTTTTTTGTAAAATGGTAAATGTTCCTAAGCCTTTGTGAACTTTGACTCATCTCATGTCTTAATCTGACCTGAAAGCAAGTCAGGTCCCCCATTTCCCAAGCTCGTCTGGCCGGAATGAATCAGTGTTTGGGTTCATAGATTTTGCTTTCAAGTCCTGTTCAAGCCTTAAAAGAGGAAAGTTATTTGTTGACCCAACTACATCACTAGAAACAAAACGGAGGGAGATTGAAATTGACAGAAAAGGCATGCAAGTTGACTCAAGCTTTAAAAATATATATTTTGTTCCTGGTTGTAAGAGCAAGGTGATTTATACTTACATTGCTTTGCATTATGATGTTAGGCTCCATGCAATCCAAGCCTCCTTCATTGAAGCCGGATTCTAGACTAATGAGGTCATCAATAACTTCATCCATTGGAAACTAAAAGAAAACAGTCATTTCAGTGTATTAAGGGACAATGTGGGGACGTTGGTGTACCGTCCACCTCTTTAGAGATCTGATCATTAAAACATGCGTCACTGTTAAAACAGGGAGGGTCATTTAATAACCAGTAGTTAGGCAGTGTTGGTGGGAAATTCTGGTTATCTATAAGTAAGCTACTTTCCTCCCTCAATAGGGGTACTCTCATCACAGACCGCATGTCTAAAGTTATTGATGAGCTCATCATAGGGGGAAAGGGGATCAGTAGTGGCAAAACTTTGTTTAGTAGATTAGTTTGGTTTGTCCAAAACCAATCACAATATAACTGCAGTCCCTGATGCCTTCTAAATATTCATCCAAACTGATTTACAGTTAACAGGTCTTACATCAACATAGCCGGCATGCAATTTGTCAGGAAAGTGGGCCGATGACAGGAAATGTCTCAGGGATATTGTGAAATCTTTGAAAATTATGACCTTACTGTTGATCAGCATGCAAACCAACATTCCTTGTGTACTGGTTTCTCTTTTAATCCAAGCACGATTTCAGTTCCATGTATTCCTTATTATTTTTCTGTTTCTGTTTCTTTCCACTTACCTCACTGTCGTGGTTTGCCATTGTCAGCAGGGTGACAGGGCTGTTGGGGTTGCTCCCGTCACTGACAGTTGCCATGTGTCCATTCCTCATGATCGGCACTGTGGCCAAGGGCTGGCCGGGTGCGTGTGGATGCGGCAGTGTGTGATTGGGTCCGGCCGAAGAGGCAAGCTTGGAGCCCAGGGTCAGGTATTGCTTCACTGGCTGGTTTTGGCTTTGGAGGTGGAACTTTGAATTCTCCAGGTGGCTTTGTACCTGTTTAAACACACAAATAAAATAAAAAAGCAATGCATTAGCTAGGTTTGGTAAAGAGAAATAGTTTTTTCATATACTGCGAAGGATGAAGAAATGCGTTCACAGCAATTTTTCAAAGCTGTCGTCTCATTTCTCACTCAGGTGCTGAAACATTTTTTTAGAATACGTCATGTTTGAATAAAGAACAACTCTTATCAAAACTTTGAGGTCTACTTTTCTATAACCTGATCTAAATCTGCAAAACATTCAGTGCCCTTATGCAATAGGTTAAATAGTTTTGAAACTTAAGAATCAAGTTTAAGAAACTAGCCCAACAACTTTCCAAAACTTTGCTGAGTAACTTTTTTAAAATATTCATATTCTTACTTTTGAAGCTCTGGTTGCATCCCGCATTTTGTAGTAGCTGCAGTCACTTAAATGTGGCATTCTTAGAAAAGCAGATGATTCAGCAGGTCAGCTTTGAGGATCCAGGTCTGCTGCTATCCTGTTAGGCTGCTGACTTCTTAGTGACTTGCTGTCCTTCCAGTCCCCTAGCAGATTTTTATAAAGGGCCCTAAGTGAACTAATTAGCCCCACAGCTGGGTGTAAGCCTTTATGTTGCGAAGCATGATAATCACTTCAAACGGCAGACTGTTACATCACCAAGGGTTTGATCACTGCAGGATGTCTGCCTTTAAGCATATATCACTATTTCATCTAGACCAACCCTTTTTCTGTTTGGCTGACCAATCGGCAGTTCCCAAAGTCTTCTGCTGTCTGCTTCAGGGGTTGTGGCAGGACAATTGACCCTTGTTTCCCAGTGGAGGTTTTAAATAACTTCTCTAATGCCATTTTAACCAAGTCTTTTCATTCATTCACTCTTTTAAATGTAGATAGCTATGCTTTATCAACCTCTAATAAAATAAAGTCAGTAAGGCTATTTTTAAATCTTTGTTACTGCCAAGCAAGGCCTATCTTCTGAATTTCATACTGTAAATGGCTAATATTCTGACTTCTCTTGTTCTGACAGAGAACCGACTGTTAAAAAGGATGTTATTAGTTTTGAAAAACATTGAGGAAGCCCAACTAACATGAATAAAAGAAGAAAGGAGCCTCAGTTTGGTTGAAATGGCTTCGGTGACACTGTGGCACATGGATATAACACTTAGGATGGAGTCATATCATTGCATTGTACAAAGGTGCTATTTTTACTTTCATAACATCAGATTTTTTTTTTTTTTTCATTTTAAAAATATGTATTTCAGTAAGTTTGGATGAAATTAATATTGTCCTGGTGAATTGCAATTACTAGTAAATTTGCCTTTTTTTTACTTTCCTTATTTTTGTATGAAGGTATAGTTCAGCAATAAAAAAGATTTTAAAAATCTGTTATGAAATTGTGATACACTCGCAACTTTTTGTGTTTCTTTACATAGAAAAAATAATTAGTTACCATAAAAAACAGCTATTTTGGCTCAGGTTTGAGTTAAAATAGTCATGTTTTGAGGGCTGGATAAGTGGGTTGCGTTGTTACATTGCTACAAGGCGGCCCTGGGTTAAATTCCCAGCCCAAGATCTTTCTGCATGGAGTTTGCATGTTCTCCCTGTGCATGTGGGGGTTCTCTCCGGGTACTCCGTCTTCCTCCCACAGTCCAAAACATGACTGTTAGGTTAATCGGTTTCTCTAAATTGTCCTTAGGTGTGTGTGCATTGTTGTGTGTCTCTGTGTGCGATAGACTGGCGACATGTTCAGGGTGCTGTAAATATCACCGGCCCAACCGCGACCCTGACTGAATAAGTTGAAAACTAAAACTTTATTCTCAAATTGCAGTTTAAGCTAATGTTAGTTCACATACTGTACCTTTAAACTGTTGTTTAGAAGGTAATTGATTGATTTGGAGGTAGAAGTACCAATTATCTTTTTATATTAGGACTTGGAATGGTGAATAGAAAAGACAGTTCAGGAATGATTATTTCTTTCTCAAACACACACAATACAGGGACTTTAAGCAGAATTTCTATTTATATGTTTTAGGAAATGACTAACATTGCAAATGTTGCACAGACAAAGTAAATTCAGGACTTTTTATTTGGTCTGCAGTGTTCTATTTTGAGCAAGTCAGTGCCAATTCAATATAAAGTTTCCTTTTTTTTTACTATTTTATAGTTACAGTTTGTTGGTAAATTAATAGGAAGATTAAACAAAGGAATACATGTAGTAAAATTTAAAACAGCTATGAATGTGTACCTCTGAATGATAAAATATCTAATTCTTGAAACTATCAAATCTAAAGTTTTACACTTTTAAGAATTTAAAACTCTTACACTTACTCTTAGACATTCTGCAAGTTTTGTAAAGCCTGAAAAAGTAAAAATGTCATTGAGTTTTAAATACTTTGACATAAGCTTTTCAACATAACAGCCTTTTAGGATTTTGGATTTTAAGCAGAAGCATAGTCAGTTCATGCCTTGTACTGGCTTTGGACATAAAAGTAAAGCTAATCACAACAGCTAAAGTTTTCACATTTTATTAATGCACAGTATCTAATTACAAAAGAACAAACTAATCTAGCATTCTAAATTAAAGTAAAAGACATTATAACATTCTATACAGAAGCTCACTCAAACCACTGTACTATCCCTTCATGTTAAAATATTTTCCAGCAACATATCTGTTTTGAGCCTCTACATTAAATCCACACCAACATATTTAATTCCCCTTGTCAGCTGGACTCCCTGGCCTTATTCACCCCTTATCCACATACTAAGAACAAACTCATCACAATACTGAACTTGTCAGTAGTAACTGAGAGCCCTTATATGTCTTCTCCTGGTCAAACAAGATGCTAGTTGTTGGCCAATCAACTTCGTTTTTTTTTTTTCCACTGCAGGAGAGATGCCAGAGTCCTTACACACCGCATCTGCTGTGTTTGACAGCGGATTGTCCTGGTTTCACTTCGGCCCTCGCACTACTGTACATTCCGGAGACACGCTTGTTATCCACTTAAGGAGGGGAATCTGATTAGATCCGAGATGCAATGGCCGTTAAGTCACCAAGGCTAGCCATGACAATGGCGGGCCTGTGCAAGTGTGAAGCTGGAAAAGCTAGAAAAGGTTATCAGTGGCTGCCATACACATGGGAGAAGGAGAGAAATAAGAATCTAATCAATCAAGGTTTAAGTTGGGGGACTGTTGTTGTGTTTCAGACTATTCAGAGGGAAAAGGTTGCAGGTTCACTATTTTTACGCATTTGCACTATATCAACCTGAAATAGTTTAATTTCTAAACAAAATGTAAAGTATTGACTTATTTTGTTGAGATCCATCAAAGTCTTTTTGCCAGTTTGCCTTAACAATAGGAGATAGTTTTTATTTTAAAGATATTTTAAAAATGTCTAAGTTATAATTTTTTTCTCACCAAGATCCATTTTAATCTTTAACCATCATTCCTTAAGAAATTCCGAATCAATTCATCTAACTAATCAAGTCCAAGACTAGGGGTAAATCACAACAGCAGTAAAGTATCCATAACAGCACCTTTAAAATAAATAAATATAAAACAATATCTGAAGATATACAATTGATTGTTTCAGGATTTACCTCAAAGTTAATGGTTGCTTTTTTCAAAGTCCGCTCAGAAATCGTGCAGTTAAAACAGCATTCCCAACAGCCATGCTCAAACCTTCCCTTCTAATCGAAATGGTCTTGCCAAACTCAGTTTCAGTCTTGCCCAAGTTCTCCTTTCACTTCAGAAAACTCGAACGCCTTATGAAACTCCGGGCGATGCGGACATTAGTTTTCTGTACAAATTGTGGACAAACTGAGTAGGAGGTTTGGATTCGTTTCTCCATCAAAAAAGGGTAGATTTACAGTATTTCACACAATACATATCGGTGCTGTGCAATTATCAGCTTCTCAAATAACATGAATGAAGATCAGATGAAAGTGGAACAAAAAAACTTGTCAGTCATGCTCTGTGTTTTTGCTGACCTTGCTACTCAGTAAAAATCTGTAACCGCTTCACCATATTGTGAAATGCAAGGGGAGATAAGACTGGGAAAGGGAACTGATCACAAAACCTGCATTTTTACAGTGATTATTAAATATTCTTATAAATATGAACCATCAAAAAAGGCAGATAATCCCTCTCAAATTCACAAGCCTACCTAAAATTTACTTGTGATCTGTTTTTTTTTTATTTCTTCGAGGGTATCAAAGTTATATGCCCCTACCTGTAGAAGTTGGATTTCTGTCAAGGTGATCACTTGGACCACGCAACAACGGCTCATGGCTGTCGAGCGTGGTGACGCTTTCCACTACAGGGTATGCAGAGGAGCAACTGTCAATGCCACAGCTCTGTTTCACACAGAGACATGTGGACCAGAAGAGGAAGAAAAAGAGAGGTGCAGTGGCCTCCTTCCTGAGCTTTTGCAAAAATATCGGAAAGGAAGGCATGACACATCAGCTTATTTGGGAGGCTCTTCCTGTGTGTGCGTTAGTATGTCTGTATGTTTTTGGTCTTAAAAAGCCCTGACAGAGGCAGAAAAATACTGATTGCAGTTTGTGGCTTGGAGAATGTGCATGTGTGGAAGCAAAGTGAGTTGACAGAATGTGGGTTTGTGCTTGTGTATAGCTCTGCTTTCCGGCCTGCAGAACATCAAGTCCGGCTCAGCACTTTTTCCCAGGTTATCTTCATGACACTGACTTCCTTTGGAAGTCCATCTAACCACAACAGCTACAGTTCAAACTACAAAAGCTCATTACAAAATGTCAGTGTGTGCGAATATCCTGCAGGGTGTAAAGTGAATTTTGTTGCATGTGAAACGATCATATCCAACAACTATGTTTCCTAAAAGACCCATAAGATCTTATGGCCTTATGTCTCGCAAGCCTGAAAATTGTATGCATGTCTGATTGTGGCGATACATAAGTCCTGGCATTTCAGGCCTCCACTCACCACAAAGACATAAAATGTTTCATGAATCACTTTATGTCACATTTGAAGACTAACACTAGATCATCTGCATACTCTTATTCTGTTTTTAATCTAATCATTTCTTGTTACATAAGCTATTTGAATTGGGACTACAGAATATGTAAATCTGCATAAACTGCTTTTTTTTATGATTCAATGAAGGACTTTATGGCCTTCTGTTTTGAGCCTAGGTTTTGCATGTTTCATTTAATCTGTTAACACATCATCACCCAAGTTTTTGTGGCCTTCCCTCAGCCAAAATTGTTTTAAATTACACATAGCCATGTAGATATTCTTATATAATCCGATCAATTCACAAGTCAGTATTATGCAGCAATAAAAATCTATGTATCATTTGAGTCATTTTAATCCATATGTCTTAAGGTTTTCAAGGTCATTTCCATGTTGTCTTTTACAAGTCACTTACGGAAAATTACTCCCACAACATGGTGCTACTACCACCATGGGGTGTTCAGGAGGATATGCAGCCGTGGGTTGTCTTATCTCTTGCCACTCTAACAGTACAGTCATGTGCTACTTAATCATTCTGTCATATAAATTTGTAATAAATTACACTGGATTTATAATTGTGTTTAAAAAAAATTATATCAATACTTTCTCAATGCAAAGAAAAATAATTATCCAAAAATGAAACCTTAACAAAACCCTGTGGATGCACATTTGATCATATGGCTCTACTAT